GTGTGGGGGGCAGAGTGGCAAGGCCAGACTCTTTCCAGCGGTATGTGGAGACAGGACAAGGGGAAATGGCCGAAAACTGGAGCATAGGAAGTTCCACACAAATGTGCTCAAGAACTTCTTTAGGTGAGAGTGATGGAGCACTGGAACAGGCTGCCCAGGGAGGTTGTGGAGTCTCCTTCTCTGGAGATATTCAAGACCCACCTGGATGCCTACTTATGCGACCTGGTGTAGGAAACCTGCTTTGGCAGGGGGGTTGGACTCGATGATCTTTGGAGGTCCCTTCCAACCCCTACAATTCTGTGATTCTGTGATTCTGTGATGTGCACCTAAATGGACTTCCTGAGGAGCAAAAAAGCTGCTCAGACCTTCAGTTATGGGGAACTCCAGAATCTGGAAGTCTCTCAAGGGCCTGAGAGAAACGTGTATGTCTTGGGTGTTTAGGGCAGAAGGAGCCTCCCCCTTGCTCCTCAAGTCCCTCTAAACAACAGATATGAAGCTCTAGGGATGGAAAGAGAAAACGGTCTGATTAATGGTTCAGAACAAGAAAGGGACAGCCAGAGTAGGAAGGTCCAGCCAAGGAAACCAAGACAGACCCAGTGCTGCCAAAAAAAAAAAAAAAAAAAAAGTGTAAATTCTTAGTAACTGGGGACTCCACATCGAGGGACACTAAAGCACCCATCTGTCACTCAGATAATCTCTCTAGAGAGGCTTTCTGCTTGCCGGGGGCCTGTATTTGTGACACTGGAAAGAGGCTTCCAGGTCTGATAAAGTTAGAGGACTACTATCCGCTCCTGCTCTTTCACACTTGGTCAGTAGAAGCTACAAGTAGGATATCACAAAATATTAAAAAAAAAAAAAAAAAAAAAAAAAATCCTGTATGTCTGTTAGGAAGATGTTGAAGGGATTGGGAGCCAAGGCAGTGCTCTCCTTAGTCCTCCTGGTTGGAGACTGGGATCCAGGAAGAAGGACAAGAACAGACCAGTTGAATTAATGTCTATCATTGATAGGCATACTCAGGACAGTGGGTTCCATGATCTTGGATGCACCTTTGTGTGACAGGGCTTGGTGATATGAATATAGTGCAGATGACCAGGAAGGGAAAGAACATAACAGGCAACAAGCTGGCTGGGCTTATCACCAGAGCATTAAACTTGATTTGATGGAGGAAGGACATGTACCACTGAGTGACAGGGAACAGTCACTTTAGGAAGCAGAGGAAGCAGATTTGGGAAGGGCTCTTCCAAGAAGGTAACACAGCCAACAGCCCAGCTGAAGTGCTTCTACACCAATGCAGACAGCATGGGAAATAAGCAGGAGGAGATGGAAAGTGTGGTGCTATTAGAAAATTATGACCTGAGTGATATCACAAAAATGTGCTATGGTGAACCACAAAACTGGAATACTATGATTGAGGGCCACAAACTTTTTAGAAGTAATAGTGGGGGAAAGAGGGGTGGGAGAGATACCCTCTATGTTAAGAAGTAGATCTATGGGGAAGAGCTGCCTCTGAGAAGCAGCCATGACCAGTTTGAGAGACTGAGTTAAAATTAGGGATCAGAATAATAAAGGAAATTTGGTGTTTGGGCTCTACATCTGATAAAGGGGAGCCTGTTGACAAGGTTTTTTTGCTTCAGCTACAAAAGGCATCGTGTTCTCAGGATCTCATCTGGGCATCTGTTGGGAAAACAGCATGGTGAGCTGAAAACAATCCAAGAGACTCCTGAAGCCAGGATAATTTCCTGGACAGACCATCAGGAGGTGAAGTGTTACTAGAACTGGTGCTTACTGTTGAGATCATTAAGATCAAAGGCAGCCTGGGCTGTAACTACCACAAGCTGGTCAAGTTCATGATTTTGCTCACCCAGATAATCATGATCCAGGTTCATGATCTGGGTGGGTCTGACAAAGAGCAGAGGCAGGACCCTGAATTTCAGGAAAGTGAACTTCAGAATGTTTAAGGAATTGCTGGATAAGATCCTCTGGCAAATGGTCCTTAAGGACATGGGTAAGGAAGAAGACTGGCAGCACTTTAAGGATGCCACTTTGAAAGCACAAGAGCTCTCCAGCCCCCAGCATAAGAAGTCAAGCAGAGGAGACAGGAAACAAGCATGGCTGAACAAGGACCTTCTTGTAAAGGTAAGAACTGGAAGAAGGAATGTCTGCCTGCTGTAAGTGAAGACCAGGTTCAAGATCATCTAATGAACCTGAAGGTGCACAAGTCCATGGGACCTGATGAGATCCATCCACAGGTTCTGAGGAAACTGGCAGATAAAGTTGCTACACTGCTATCCACCATATTTGACAGATCACGGCAGTCTGTAGAAGTTCCTGCAGATTTGAAAAGATGAAACATACCCCCCATTTTCAAGAAGGGAAAAAAAAGAAGATCTAGGAAACTACAGGCCAGTCAGTCTCACATCTGCACCTGGCAAGGTCATGGAGTAGATCCTACTGAAGGCCCTACTGAGGCACATGGAAAATAAAAATGAGGTGGTGGTAGGTGAACAACATGACTCCACCAGGGGCAAATCCTGTTTGACAAACTTTGTGGCCTTTTATTATGATGAAGCTACATCATCAGTGAATAAAGGAAGAGCAGCTGACATCATCTACCCGGACCTGTGCAAAGCATTTGACACTGTCCCACATGACATCCTGGTGACCAGACTGGAGAAAAATGGATTTAATGGATAGACCACTCACTGGATAAGGAATTGGCTGGATAGTCACACTCAGAGAGTAGTGGTCAATGGCTCAATGTCCAAATGGAGACCAGTGATGAGAAATATTCTTTAGGAATCAGTGATGGGACCAGCAGTGTTTAACATCTTTATAGGCAACATGAACAGTGGGATCAAGAGCATCCTCAGCAAGTTTGCAGATGACACCAAGCTGAATGGTGCAATTGACATGCCAGAGAGAAGGGATGCCATCCAGAGGGATCTTGTCAGGCTAGAGAGATAGGCCCATGTCAAACTCATGAAGTTCAGCAAAGCCAAGTGCAAGGTCCCACACCTGGGTCTGGGCAACAAAGGTTGGAAGGAGAATGGCTTGGGAGCAGCAGGAGACAAGGATTTTGGGGGTATTGCTTGATGAAAGACTCAACATCAGTGGACAGAGTGCACTTGCAGCCCAGAAAGTCAACCATATCCTGGGTCACATCAACAGGAGTGTGATCAGCCCCTCTGCTTGTGTGAGATCCCACCTGGAGTACTGCATCCAGTTCTGGGATCCCCAGCACAAGGGCATTGAGCTGTTGAAGTCGGTCCAGAGGAGGGCGACAAAGATGATCAGAGGGCTGGAGCACCCCCACTATGAGGACAGGCTGAGACAGTTGGGGCTCTTCAGCCTGGAGAAGATTCCTGGGGGACTTTATGGTGGCCTTCTGGTACCTGAAGAGAGCCTACAGGAAAGCTGTTCATAAGGGCATGTCGAGACAGAATGTGGGGAAATGGTTTTAAACTGGAAAAGGGTAGATTTAGACTATATACTAGGAAGAAATTCTTTACTGTGAGGACGGTAAGACACTGGAACAAATTGCTCAGTGAGGTTGTGGATACCCCCTCCCTGGAGGTATTCAAGGCCTCCCTCTGTACTCAGCCCTAGTGTGGCCACACCTCAAGTACTGTGTTCAGTTTTGGGCCCCTCTCTACAAGAAGGACATTGAGGCCCTGGAGTGTGTTCAGAGAAAGGCAACAAAGCTGGTGAGGGGTCTGGAGTACAGGCCATATGAGGAGTGGCTGAGGGAACTGGGATTGTTCAGTCTGGAGAAGAGGAGGCTCAGGAGTGATCTTATCACTTTCTACAGTTGTGGAGGGAGGTTGTGGTAGGTGGGGGTCAGCCTATTCCCCCATGTAACTAGCAATAGAACTAGAGGGAATGCCTCAAGTTGCACCAGGGGAGATTCAGGTTGGATGTCAGGAAATAATACCTCTCTGAGAGAGTGGTCAAGAGCAGGAAGAGGCTGCCCAGGGAGGTGGTGGAGTCACCATCCTGAAGGTATTCAAGAAACCTTTGCTGTTATAATGAGGGACATGGTTTAGTGGAGAAATATTGGTGATAGGTGAATGGTTGGACTGGATGATCTTGGAGGTCTTTTCCAACCTTGGTGATTCTATGATTCATTCTGTGGATGGGGCTTTGGGCAACCTGGTCTAGTGGGAGGTGTCCCTGCTTACAGTAGGCGAGTTGGAACTAGATGGGACCTACTACTGACCCCTAAGGAACACCTCTAGCTACAGGCCTGAAACTAGACTGTTGTAGATAAGATACTCTTCAGACTTACACTCAAGAGAGAACTTAATCCCCTACAAAAGCTCCTTCACTAGGCTTGAACATTTCTTCCTTTGTCAAATTCTGCCCTCAGAGGGGAAAGGGTAAATGCACACAGTTTCTTCCTGCTCCCAGGAATGGTGTCTTTGGAATGTGTAAGACTTTTTGGCTTAAATAAATGTCCTGTTAGCCAAAGACTTTCCTTACAAAGCTGCCAGGGACAGCACCAGCTCTTAATAATCAGGCAGACTCTGCTGGTATTTGCTGAGGTAGTTAATGCAGCACAGGGACATTAACAGAAAACGTGGACTTCCTACTTTGCTCTGTGTCTTTTCAAGTTCCGGTGAGCAATATTACATCTTCTATAAGAGCATGGATCTGTTTGATTTAGCACTTTATTGCTAAATCACACTCTTATCTGCACCATCCCCTAACAGATCGTTTTTCCAGTCACTGACTCTGAGGCTTTGAGGCTGCCCTGCCAGCCAATTGCCCACCGCACCACTGTGTCTTTGTCTAGCTGTATGTTGGACATATTGTCCAGAAGAATACTGTAAAAAACAGCACTGAAATGTTCGCTGACATCCAAAAATTACATCAACTGGCGCTCGCGTTGCCACACGGCGGCTCTGCGCGCCGGGGTCCAGCCACCCGGACAGCAGCGGAACGGGCCGCGGTGGAGCGGGGCGGCGGCGGAGCGCTGTGCGCGGCGCACCCGGAAGCGAAGGCCGGGCCGAGGAGTTCCGCGATGGACGCGCTGCCGCTGCGCGTGTGAGCGGGACGGGAGGGGACGGGAGGGGACGGGACGGGAGGGAACGAGACGAGGTGCGGTTGTGCCGTGCTGTGGCGGTCGCTGAGGCTCTGTCTCCTTCAGGCTGGCGTGCGGCGACGTGGAGGGGCGGCTGGAGAGTCTCTTCGGGCGGGTCCGAGCCATCCAGAGCAAGAGTGGCCGCTTCGATGTGAGGCTGCGGCGGGGCCGGGTAGCGGGAGCGGGACCGGGAGCCTCCGGGTGGGGCTGAGGGAGGGCCGCGCTCAGCTCCTCTCCGACTGGGCCCTGCCTGTGGCTGCCCGCGGGGCCGAGGGGCCGCTGCCGGGGCTTGTTGTGCCCTCAGGCTTCCTTGTGCTGCACTGAGGGCCTGGGGAGTACGAACCTGTGGGACGGGAATGCTGCTCCTCCTTTTGCGAGTGTAGCGGTACCACCGAGCGCAGACACTTTTCTTTACCCAGTGGCTGGGGGGAGATGCACAATGCCTCGAAGCGAAGCATCCCACCGCCGAAGCGCTCTGCCTTGCCTTTGGTGTTTTGTGTGACTCTCTTTTGGTGTGGTGGTTCCAGATGCTGTTGTGCGTCGGGGATTTCTTCAGCTCCACTTCTGATGCCGAATGGGCAGAGTATCGTTCAGGGGCTAAGAAAGGTAAGGAAGGAGTTGTCACTCCCCATAGCAAATGCATTGGCGTGCTGGGGGCTATGCTGGCAGGCAACCCACTTACCCGCGTCCTTAAAATCTTGCTTGGCTGTGCGAGCTGTCCACACAAAGCTGTCTCATTTCCTGTGAGGGCTCAGCATGGGGAGCCTAAGCAATCTCATATAGCTGGACTGTGAGAACTGAAACTTCACGCACAAGTCTAGTGTCACCCTAGAGACAATGTAGGCCATGGATCACTCAGGGGCATCATTTAGAGGATGCACCTTAAAGCATCTGGTGATGAGAAAAGCATTTTGTTCAAACAGCAGGTTCAGGGGTCTTTTTCTGAAGGAAATTTTCTTGTTTGTGGTTATGGCTCCTTCGCTGAGAAGGAGGGGTGTTGGGATGGTTGTGATTCCTGGTACAAATGGGTGACATGTACTTCATGTACTTTATACCAGACTGATCATTTTCTTCTTCAGCTCCAATTCCAACCTTCGTGCTCGGCGCTAACAACCAAGAAACCATGCACTGTTTTCCACATGTCACTGGCTGCGAATTAGCTGAGAACATCACTTACTTAGGTAATGTACTTGTGTGATGCTGCTTTCAAGAACATTTTGTGATCTTTGTGCTTTAACTCACCCCTCCTTTTTTTTTCTTGAAGTTTTAAGATGTCATCTCTTAATCTTGCAACAAGACTGGAGTTGAACTATTTGTTCAACTTTTTTGTTGTTGTCGTTTTCTAACACACACTGAATACCCAAAAGAAAAAGATGTTGAAAGAGTCTTTTGATTGAGAACATATTCCCGTCCTGTGCTTCTCTCTGTGCAGTGGAGGTTTCCTATAAGAAGCGTAATTGTGCTGTGCTCCATGGTTGTACTAAAGTAGCAAAGATAAAAAGTACAATCATCAAAGGTAATGAAATGATAGCAAAACTAAAAGGAAAGGTTAATTTCTTTTTAGAATCTTGCCTGACAAAAATAGTTACAAAGGAACTTGCAATTGGCTTTTTTATTTTCAGTCTTCATACTGAGCTTTTATTATCAATTGATTGTAGGGAAGCAAGATAGCAGTGAGGAGAGAAAATTGGGGGTTGTATAAACAGCTTCACCATAAAGCAGATTTTGAGCAGATTTTGGCACTAAAATGTCGTCTTAGAATTTACGAGCACAGAAAATGAGCTGCCTGTAAGAAAGGTTTCAGTCAAAGTAAGGCAGGACTGCTAAATCTGGCTCTCTGCTTATGATACAAATGAGATTACCTGCAGCTTTTGAATCTCAGGTGTGTGTTTGTGCATTCATGCAGGCCGTCGAGGTCTTTTCAGTGGTACTTCAGGACTGCAGATCGCATACCTGAGTGGCACCGAGTCTCAGGAGGAGCCAACTCCTGCCTACAGCTTTAGTTCAAAGGATGTGACAGAATTAAAGTCATCTTTGTTATCAACCCCAAACTTCAAGGGTGTAGATATACTGCTGACTTCCCCCTGGCCCAGAGATGTTGAGAGTTTTGCCAACAGCCCAGTAAGTCTTCTGTTTTCTGGTGGAATGAATTTCCAGGTGTATCTAACAAATGATGGCATCTCTGCTTGCTTTGGCTGTTTACAGAAGGACCCTCCTGATTGTTTTGTTTGTTTGTTTGTTTTTAATTTACTAATGTAAGGGCTTTATAGGATAATTTCCTGAAAGAGCTTTCTTTCCATGGACATTATATCAATTTCTATAGAAAAGCTAATGTTCAATAACTAAAGATTTTAGCATGCTGTGCTCAGACCATGAGGCTGTACCTCCTGGAGATACTGTTCATTTGGAACTGTTTTTTTCTCAGCAGTCTGTGTCCTACAGACTTAGTCCCACTGGGACGTCATCTAGTCCAATCCCCCTGCAATAAAGAGGGACATCTTCAGCTAGATCAGGGTGCTCAGCTCCCTGTCCCATGGACAAGGTGTCCACCGCATCTCTGATCAACCTGTTTCAGTACTTCACCAGTCTTATTATAAAAACCGTTTTCCTTATATCCAGTCTAAATCACCCTTCTTGGGTGAAATAATTTCTCCTTGTCTTATCACAACAGACCCTGCTAAAGAGTCTGTCCCCTTCTTTCTTGCAGCCCCACTTTAGATACTGAAAGGCCACTATCAGTCTTCCCAGAGCTTTTTCTTCTCCAGGCTGATCAGCCTGAGCTCTCTTAGCCTTTTCTCACACAAGAGGTGTTCCATCCCTTGGACCATTTTTCTGGCCCTCCTCTGGATGCATTCCAGCAGGTCCATATCTTTCCTGCACTAAGGATTCCACATGTGGATGCAGTGCTCCAGGTGAGGTCTCACAGCACAGAGCAGAGGGGGAGGATCCCTCACCCTGCTGGCCACACTGCTTTGGATGCAGTCCAGGATATGGTTGGCTTTCTGGGCTGCGAGGGCACAGTGCTGGCTCATGTCCAGCTACTATCCATCAGTGCACCCAAGTTCTTTTTGGCAGGGCTGTGCTTTGTCCTTTCCTCCCCTTGTTTGTATTGATAGTGGGGCTTGCTTTGACTCAGGTGCAAGACCTTGCTTTTTAGAACCTCTTTGTTCACCTGGGCCCACTGCTTGAGGTCTCTCTGGATGGCATCCCTTCACTCAAGCATGTTAACTGCAACACGGCTTGGTGTCACTTTCAAGCTTTCTGAGGGTGCACTCAATCTCACCATGAATGTCATTGATGAAGATATTAAAGAGCATAAAGAGGATCCTGACTCTGCAAGGGCAAATCCAGTTGCACAATTATGATGCACAAGAAGCCTGGGACTGCAGTTGTCTTCTTAGTTTTTAGTAAGTCTTCATGCTGCCAGGATGTTTATGTTGTTTCATCAGAGGTAAAATTCATCTTAATCCTTCTTTTCTGCCCTCTCTGAGCAATCCTTCATCATTCTTCAACTGATCGTGCTTTGCCTTAAATTTAAATTGGTATCTTTCCTCACTAGCTTGTTTGATTTTGAAGAAGGTTATAGAAATGTCAGGTTTTTATTCCATTAAATTTTGTAAAGTTTTTTTTTCCTTGTATAAATATTGGGGTTTTTTTTTGTAATATCCTCATTGTGGCATTGTTCTGGTATCTCAGCAGATTTAATCTGATCTACATGAGCTCCTTGACCCTAAAGCAGTGTTCTAAAGGAGACTTCCTTAGTGATTTCTTCAGTGGTGTTAAATAAAAGCTGCTTTGTCTGCTTTCACAGCTTACTTCAGTCCAGGCTTAGAAGGTGGTCAAGATGGTCCCTCAGATTTTTTAGCCTTTTTTCCCCTTCAGTTCTTTAATCGGTAGAGGAAACTTGTGTCAGACTTCCTCAGTACTTACATCCTCGTGCCTCCTGCCAGATGCCTTTGCCAAACACAGGTTACTACTTAAAACTCGCATCAGGCTTGGATGCCAGTTTGTGCTTTTATATGACATGTGAAAGGAAAAAGGAAAGCTTACATCCCAGATCCCTCAAGAGCAGCTTTCTCTTTGGCACTGCTGAAGTCCAGAGGTGTAGAAATGTTGGTTGTAAAGGAGCTCTGCAGTCTTCCTGTCCAACCTCTGCCTTGAGTTGATGTTGCTGTAAGAGTGCCACAGGTGTTTCTTCAATGTTTCTTGTTCCCTCTAACCAGCCTTTCTGATACTTGTGAACTTCAGCATTCCCAAAGTAGATGTGAGTGAAGTTGAATCCCATTCACTGGGGCATCTCCAAGGGCTTGCTAAAATGGAGTGTGTGTCTCTGATTATTTCTTCAGGTGTCCGTCAGCTGTTCTGAAAGGTTTGGTTCCTCCTTTGTCTGGATTTTGAGGATATGTTTACATTGTGTCTAATTCGCGGTTGTAACTGTTGCTCTGCAGAAGGGACTTGCCTGTGAACTCAGATGATCTGAAACTTCCCTGGAGAAGAATGCTATGTGTAACAGACACTTTGTTTCCTCATTGTCTTTTCACTTCTGAAAAAAAATACTGTCTCTGAAAGCATTAAAAAATGTCTTCCTTCTCCCTCCATAAAATAACCCCGCTACCACCAACAACACAAAAAAACAAAACAAAACAACAACCCCACTAGGCTATGTAGTTGGAGAGAAAAAAGATGTAGGGATGTTCTCACTTAAAGAGACAAATTGTGTCTAGACCTTCACACTGGGATGCTCTGTAGTAATTCAGCATATTGTTCCACTCTTCTTGGTTTCCCTCAGCTTGAATTTCTGCAAATGTGCTGTTTGGATAAATATAAATATATAAATAATATATAAACATATATATAAATAATATATAAACAGATAAATATATTAGTAAATATAATAATCAAATAGACATCTTGCTGAAATGTGTGCTTCAGGACCTGAAGATTTCATTAACGTCTTTAAAATTTCCTTGTGTGCTAAGACAGTGAAATCCCATCGCTCCAGTAACAGCAAATTTGGTGAATGAACAATAAGTTCTGCTTTTTTGCCACCTGAAGTTTCTTGTGCAGTAAAAATGGTGTGAGAAGTTAATCGCATGAGTGAGAATTAACTTCCTGGAGAATATCCTTTCCTGAAATGGTTCTTAGGTCTGACCATTTTCAGTGGGACTGAAACCAGCAAGATCTCAGGGTACTGCTGTTATCCTCTGCCACACCTGCTGCAAGGGCAGCAGAAAGAAGTACAGAGAGGAAAGCTGCTTTGCTGGGAGTAGGTGTATGCCTGTACAACTGCACTTCTTGTTGAGCTCCATGAGGTTCCTGTCAGCCCATTTCTTCAGCCTCTCTGAGTCCCTCTGGGTGGCTGCACAGCCCTCTGGTGAGTCAGTCACTCACCCCAGTTTTTTATGTCATCTGCAAATTTATTGAAGGTGCACTCTACTCCATCATCCAGATCGTTACTGAAGATGTTAAAAAGGACTGAACCCAGTACTGTCTCCTGGGGTGCACCCCTCATTACTGGCCTCAAGTGAAAATTTGCACTACTGACCTCTGCCCTCTGGGTCCTACTGTTCAGGTAGTTTTCAACCCAGCTCATTGCACATCCAGCCCATACTTCAGCAGCTTCCCTATGAGGATCTGTTGGGGGACACTGTCAAAGGCAATACCCACAGCTCCCCACTAATTCATCAGGCTGATTGTTTCATTATAGAAGCTCATCGGACTGATCAGGCCTGACTTCCTCTCGATGAAACCTGATGATTTTCTATGCTTTCTTGCCTGGAAATAGTTACTTTTTACCAAAAAAATCTTTACCAAAAATAATACTTTGTAGGTAACAGGCCTTGACAATTTCTGAACTTCTGTTTTCCCCTGCTCCTTTCTTTCCTTACTTTGCTTTTCAGTCTAAGGCTAGTGAAGAACAGACAGCCCAAAAGTAGTTCTAAGCCTGCTCTTTGGTTGTGTTTTGTTTTTGATTTCTCAGGGACAGGAGAAAACATTTTGTTTCATTGGGAAACTTTAGCATTTTCCTATTCACTTGACTCACACACTGGTTAAAATGTGCCTTAATGATTTTGACCTATATTGCTGTTTGCCAAAACTCATTCTGTGCTTCAATTGCTTCACAAGATCAATAAAGGGAAAATAGGACAAATTTGTAAAGTGGAATGACTGGATGTAAACCTTGGGTATGGAAAATGATGTAAATGAGTAGACTTGGATTGGAGATAAGAAATCAAACCATGTTCACTTTTATGCTTCAAGGAATGGCAACAGCCACGGTCATAACCTCTACATTTCCAGCAAGCAGTTCAGTATAAGCAATTTATTTTCACTGCAGTCTGACAGAGTTTTTAGAATAAAACTTGTTTTATATTTGTAGGGAGAAATAGATACCAAAAAATGTGGTTCCACTTTAATATCTGATCTAGCTGCAAGTCTCAAGCCAAGGTATCACTTTGCTGCGCTGGAGAAGGCCTATTATGAAAGACTTCCTTACAGGTTTGTAAGACATTGTGAAATCTCATTTATTTTGAAATAAGAGTTCAATTTTTAAAGAACTTCAGTGTAGTTTTATGAAGTCATCTGGTTCCTTTAAATCTTTGTTTTTCCAGTAATGAGTCGAGATTGTTTCTCAGATGTCTCTTCTGATAACAGTTCTTTCTGCCTCAAAAACTGTGCAGTCCCTGCTAACACTTACCCGAGAATGTCAGAGTGAATCTGACACCAAATCACTTGTTCTGAGTTCCATTTCAGTAATGTTCAGCCTAGTTCTGGGGGTACCTCTGAAGGTGTATTGTGGAAAAGCTCTCATACAGTGAAGAATTTGGTGTCTTCAGATATAACTTTGAATACAAAATGTGACTGTTAAAATAATGTAGGTGTCCGAACAACGTTCAGAGAAAATTAAGGCTGTCTTGTGAATGCTGGCAAAGATCATTACCTTTATTATAGCAAATACATTTTAAAATGGAAGTTGTTTTCAGTCCAGTAAAATGTCCTCTCAGCTGTGTGTTCGGTCTGCTGTGAGATCTCATTTTTGTCTGTGTGGTTGTTGGTTGTTAGATCTCACAAGTCTTTTTGCTCTCAGGCCTTCTTGTTCTGGGTGAAAGCCTACATGTAAGTGATGTGGTGTCTGAGTTCCTTCATGGAGGACATGTGGTTTTCCCACTACTCTTTAAGTATATGCCAATACAATCAAGTTTTGCTTCCATACAGAAATCACACAGTGCTGCAGGAGACCCCACAACATGTGACCAGATTTATTGCTCTTGCTGAAGTTGGCAATAAAAGCAAGAAAAAGGTACTTGTACTCCTGAATCTTCTTTTCTCAGGTACAAACAACATGGCAGTAAGCCCTAATTTAGCTAGTCATAGGACAGTGTGAATCATACCGAAGTGGAGGTGTCTGTTGAGTAACATGGCATTTGCCCATCATGTCAGAGGGGTATAGAATGCCGGATGTGTTCTTAAGCACTTCCGTTTCTCTCTACCTGGTCTAATGGCATTTAGCTGGAAGACAGCTGCAAAGGAAAATGGCCAGAAAGCTGCCATCCTTCCCTCTTCCTCAGCCTCTTTGGATAATTTTCTCTTCCCATGGCTTCCCTTAGGAAGGAAACAATTTACATGAGAACCCTTACAAATCACTTAAAATAACTTTTGGGGTGACATAAGTTGCTTACTTTTTTAACCCTTATAAAAAGTTACAGAGTATTGATACAGAAGGATGTTGGTAGTTTACAGCTGACCTCTTCAGAGTTGCAATCATTGCAAAAGCTTTTTGCATTTGAGCCATCTGTTTTTCTTCCAGTATCTGTATGCATTCAGCATTGTCCCCATGAGTTTGATGGACCCTGCAGAGCTAGTAAAACAGCCCCAGGATGTCACTGAAAATCCATACCGGAAGTTGCAGAAGGGTGCACAGAAGACCAAAGTACTTGGGTGTGCAGAGGTACTGCTGCAGTCTGCTGCATGGATGCGCTCTGTGACTCTCTGGGATGCAGGTACAACAGGTTTTGGTTTTCATTTTCTAACCAGGAAGAAACAGCATGTCAGTTTTTCTTTGATTTGAACAAGCATCATGGGAAAAAACGTCCCTCAGACGGGAAGGATAGAGGGAGCTCCCAAACCAAGCAAGCCAAAAAGCCCCGTAAGTATGTGAATGCTTTTTTTCCCAAGAACTTTACTAGAGGTATTGGTCCATTTCACTCATTTTATTTCAGGCTGTTCAGCTGTTCATATCATCTTGAAAATGTGCTAGATGGTTTGGGTGTACAGAGGAATGAACAGCCGCTTGCTTCCTAGAAACCTAACGAAAAGTAGTTAAATAAAAGGCGAAAGTATAGTTTAAAAACTAGATCTGGGGGGGTTGAGCTGGTGCTGTTTACCTTGTGAAGCTGACAACAGGCAGTTCTACAGACTAGCTTGTTCTGTAGGGCGTAGTGTACCCTTGTGTACTTAGTATGATTTCCTTTTCTTGATAAGAAATTCCAGAAGACTTTAGGAGCCTCGTAGCACTCTTTTGCACTGATACAAACTCCAGGCTTGGACCTCTGGTTCCCTGTGGTTCTTGGCAGAGGCTTATCTCATACTGCATTTGTAAAGCTGCTTGTCTGTTCCTGTACAAAGCCTACAGCTGTGAATGTGGTGTTTGACCCTAATAAAAGGCCTAGCTTATCGATGTCATCAGTTTATAGTAAGGGTCAGTTAAGGTATTGCAATCTGGGTGTGGAATCACGTTTTCAGTGTGAGAAATAGGCCAGAACTAGCACGTGTGTTTGACAGCATCTGTGCTTATCTATACTTGTGTGATAGTTTCATCTCATTTTGATTTGTTTTTTTTTTTTTAAATTCACTGGTGCTTTTTTTACTAGTGAGCTGTAAACACTATGTTCCTGGAAATAATGTTCTTCCAGTAAATTGGAGCACTCAATGATGATGTCAGATGATGACTGCCACCTGCTCCTCTTACTGGAACTTCCCACAGGGCATCAGTTCTCCAGCCAGATTCTGCTTCCCAGAGCCATGCCCTTCAGCACTACATCAGCTGGGAAATGGAGCTGGAAAATGCAGCTCTTCCAGGTCTTGTTCCATTCATCATTCCAACCAACAAGCTTTATGCTAACACTTGTTTCTCTTTCCTATCCCATAAAGCACAGCCCACAGGGCCCTGTTGGTTCTGTCTTGCTAGCCCAGAAGTGGAGAAGCACTTGGTTGTTAGCATTGGCACACACGTAAGTAACAATAGTACATTCTTTTCTACATGCCAGCAAAATCATGTTAAGATGTAGCAATATTTATTTTAAAAAGGGAGAAGGAAAAAAAAGCGAACAACCTTTATTTGGAGCGGACTCAGTTTTCTTTTTAGTTTCTTTGCATTTACTCCTACAGAAGACATAAGTAGATAGTCACAAGTCTTTTGAAAAATAAAACGTGTCCCTCTTTTGCTTGAGCAGATGAATTATTGAGCCGGAAGACTTTTTGGTGTGCAGACTTCATGATTTTATTATGTTACAATCTGCCAGAATTCAGTGTAAACTGGAATCTGTGTTGGCAATAGGATGCGTTGGTGGAGTTATACCAAAAGCATCTGGGATGACTGGTTCTGATTTTTTCACATGCAGATTAAACAGAAGATAAGACAGCTTTTACATCAAGATCTCAAAGTACTTTTTGGAGGTTAACTAAATGATTGACACCTTTGCTTTGCCTCCAGTCCTTGCTCCTATATAGTGCAATCTACTTGAAGATGATACAGTGGCAATTTTATCTGGTTTTGGTTGGAAAGTAGATATACATTTTCAAAGGGATTTTCTTGTCAATGTAAGAAATTCTGGTAGCACTAGTAAAGTTCACTCAGGTGTCTTCCTGCAGGCCAGGCATTCTCTGGCACTTGAAGAAAAAAAGTTGTTAAAAGTTGTTTTTAACCTTTTTCACTTTCTTTGCCTTTCTCTTTCCTCTAGTAATTAATGAATTACTAATTAACAGTTCCTAATAAGCGACACGGTAGAAAACCGTACTGTTCCTGAGGCAGAATTGCTAGGCTAGGGAATGGTCAAGAGTGCAGCCAGAGAGCACAAGTAACTTTCCACAGTGTGTTAAGTGTTGTTGATAGTAACTATGTGTATTGTTTCACTCCAGTGCTACCTTGCCCTGGCCAAGGGTGGCTTATTACCTGATCATGTCTTGATTTTGCCTATTGGGCACTATCAGTCAGTGGTTGACTTGTCTTCAGAGGTGATGGAAGAAGTGACCAAGTACAAATCTGCCCTGAAGGAATTTTTCAGAAGCAAGGGGAAGAGATATGTCTTATTTGAAAGGAACTATAAGAGTCAGCATCTGCAGTTACAGGTATGGTTTCAGTGTATATTAAGAGGACACAGCTGTGCACTTCTCCATGACTGAACTGAAAGGGAAAGCTCACTTTCAGCTTTTCCAGAGTATGGGCAGTATTCTGCCCACAAACAGGCAGAACAAAAGCAATACCCACGTTGTGTGATGGTTCTGCCACAATCCTTAAATTCTTCATATTATAGCAGCACAGCATTGACTGTGTTGAACAGGCAAGGAAAACTTCTCTCTGCATAGATATGATTTAAAAACCTCATGGGGATTCCAGACAAGGTTTTATAACTGGTTTCTTACTCTGATCTGCTCCCATGGGCATACAAGGTGCAGTGCTCACCGTGCAACTGTAGTAGGCTGACAATGTAAGAATATGTGCAGAATTCTGATTGTTGTCTACCAGTACCAACCCTTTGGTGTGATTTTTTTTTTCTTCCCTTGTGCATCAGTTAGTGGTTTATTGTGGTGGTTTCTTTGTTTGGCAGATCTGTAACTGTATCAGAGCGGCCTGAAACTACCGCAGAGATCAAAAAGGAGAGAGACTGTGCTGAGAACTTTTTCAGGCTCTTAGTTCTCAGCTTTTTATTCAACTCCTATAGAAGATTTCTCATAAGTTTAAATCTGTACAGGTGGGTGCTCAGCCACCCTGTTTGATGATATTGCACAGAACTGAGGAGCATATCAGCTCCAGTGATGGAACAATTGCTTTCTGTGACTTAGTGGTTTCCCTCATCTTTACTTCTTTGGAAACATCTGTCTCTTTCTCCAGGTGATTCCTGTCCCACTGGACTATACTTCTGAAGACATTAAGGAGTGCTTTATTACACAGGCACAGGAGCAACAGATGGAACTGTTAGAAATCCCAGAGCACTCAGATATCACGCAGGTACAAAATACTTTCACCTGCCTTCACCTCTGCCCTGTCAGGGCTGCTGTTTCCCTCTGAGGTCACTTTGTGGGGTAAGGTTAAGCTGTTTGGAAGCAGACTTAATTTGGAGCCCACATGCCAGTTGTGTTCAGCTCCTCATTAAATTCCTACCAATGTCACAAGATGTGTTGCTTATCTGAATAGCAAGTCCTTTGCCTGCAGCATTTGTTGACTGCCCTCAGAGGGTCTCAAGTATATATCATCTTTGCATTTGATGGAGGTCTGTGCTGCTAGGTTTGTTCAGCACTTCTGTCACAATGCAGATTGCTAAGATGTCCCCTGGATTCCTCTGCCTGGCTTTTCCTAGTGGTAAAACTCAAAATATAACTAAGGTTTGTGCCTCATCTTCGTGCCTGACTTGAATGGCAGGGATAATAACTCTGGTCACATTATTCTAGCTACGTGTAAGGCCTGCTAAACTCACTCCTACTGAACACCAACCCCCTTCCAGCATCACTGCTCATCAGGTAGTTTTAATTTCCCCTAGGTAAGAGTTCTCTAACTTGAGAAGTGCAGTTGTACTCTCTTCACATTATTTTACTCTTTTTCCTCTATAATATACCATATTAGCTCAGGCAGTTCTGATCCAGGCTCAGTTATTTACTGTCCCTATAATGCAATCTGCAGAGTCAACCAGAAGAAATATTAAAGCAGTGTAATGTCTGCTACCTTGCATTGCAAAGGCAGACACCATTCCAGAAGAAAGCAAAGCAATCCATCACTTCCTCATTCTTTGGGGATTATGAGATCTACCACTGATGCAGTTTGGAATATGTGCTGCAGCCTGGGCTGGCTAAAGAACTGCAGCCAGAACCTCTCTCATTCTGAGTGGCATCCAGGTGGGTAGGAGAGGGATAAGCCTCTTTCAATGTTTCATTAGTGAAAAAGTCTGCAGCTCGCACTGCACAGACACAGAGTAAAGCCCTCTTCTGTGGCTTCCTGATGTAGGCAGGATGTGTGTGCATGTGTCACACATGCCTTGGGAAAACATTTAGGGGAAACCTGGCTCCCTTTGGCACCAACGAGCCTCAGCATCCCTCCTTCCTACACAGGTGGTGCAGCCAGGCACGCCGTACTTCTATGTGGAGCTGGACACAGGCGAGAAGCTCTTCCACCGTATCCGGGGCAGCTTCCCACTGCAGTTTGGCAGGTGGGTGTGTCACTTTCTGTACCCTTCCATTTCCCGTTCTCCTCCCTTTTCCCCCACTCTTTTCCTCCCCCCTTTTTTCTCCCTTCTCCCCCTCCCCCCCCTCCCTTTCCTCCCTTTTCCCTGTTGTCCTTGGCACAGGGCGCTGTGCCGGGCGCTGATGCCGTCTGTCCGGCAGGGCGGTGCTGGCCAGCGGTGCCCTGCTGGCGCTCCCTCAGCGCTCCGACTGGCGCAGCTGCACGGCGGCCCGGCCCGAGGAGGCGGCGCAGGCCAGCGCCTTCCGTCGCGACTTCCAGCCCTTCGACTTCGCCTTGCGGGACTGACGTCGGAGCGGCAGGCGGGCGGGAGGCGCGCTGACGCGGCAATAAAGGCGGAGCTACGGGCGCGGAGCTGTGTGCGGCGCCATGGAGCGGGGCGCGGAGCGTGGGCCCCCCCCGGCCCCCAGCGGCGTGGCGCTGCGGGGACAGCCGGCGGGCGGCTGCGGGCCCTGGGAGATGCGCGACCGCCTGGGCACCGGCGGCTTCGGTAACGTCTGCCTCTACCAGCACCAGGTGGGGCGGCGGCGGTGGCGGGGGGGGCGGCGGCGGCGGGGCGCGGGCCCGCCGTGACGGGGCTGTGTGCCGCAGGAGACGGGCGCCCGGGTGGCCATCAAGTCGTGCCGGCTGGAGCTGAGCGTCAAGAACAAGGACCGCTGGTGCCACGAGATCGACATTATGAAGAAGTGAGTGCCGGGCCTCCGGCCGCCGAGCGGGCGCCACCGCTTCCCTATTTGTCCGTACGCGGGTAGAGCCGCCCCTCGCCTCGCGCGTACCGGAGCTGTCCCGGCACGGGGTGCCCCGTCCTGCTGTGCCCTTCCGGAGGGCCTACGCGGAGCTCTGCGCGCAGCCTGCGGCGGCCGCCGAGCTCGCCTGGGCCGTCCTCGGGCGCAGCAGCGGCCCCGCGGGGCGGCGTCGTGGTGCGGGTGCGCGCCGCTCTGCTCGCCTCCTCAACCGCGGCGCTGGGGCGCGCAGACAGCTGCGGCTGCCGTGGGTTGCGGGTCAGTCGCGGGAGCAGCGCGTCGTGATCGGAGAGCAGGTGCCGGCAGCCTGCGGGTCAGTGCGCAGTGTGCCTCGAGTGCTTGCACGTGCTTAAACCTCTGGGCCAAATAGGAAATATTTTCCTATTCTACACGCAGGAATAGAGGCACGCGTGAAATAACTTCAGCCAGAGTGCGAGCCGGGAGCCTAGCTCTCCGTTAAAGTCCTGCATGTGGGCTTTGAGGTGTTCCCAACGTGGGGGGTGCATGGGACTGGGCACTGGTAGAGAGCACTTCTCAGCAAGGGTACACCTGGGGAGCGTAGCTCATACCTGAGGCATTAAACCTGGCTGGCCAGCCGTCCTTTCTTCCCACTCTTCAATAGAGTAGCCAGGGTTTTCACAAGCTTTCCGTCTGTCTAGGTTGAACCATCCCAACATAGTGAGAGCCTGCGAGGTTCCTGAGGAAATGAACTTCCTTGTGAACAATGTGCCTCTTCTGGCAATGGAGTATTGCTCGGGGGGTGACCTCCGGAAGGTAACGGTTGCTTTGCTTTGCGTGGCACAGCAAAACAAGGGGTGGTGGTGCTGTCCCCATAGCTGCGGCCATCTATGAAGCCATATGTGTTCTGTGGAGCTTCTCTTTTTTAGTGTAGATCCAGGGAAGTAAATATACAGTGACTACTTGAAGAGCTTATAAGCAGGGGGACTGACTTTTGACATGGTCGTAGTGATGTAGCAAAGGAAAACAGCTTTAAAATAAATTTAGATAATAGAGTTCTTTACTCATAGGGCAGTGTGGCCCTGGCACAAACTGCCCAGAGGAGCTGGGGGTGCCCAATTTCTGATGGTGCCCAAGGCCAGGACAGATAGAGCCCTGGACAACCTGATCTGATGGGGTGCGACCAGACCATTGCAAGGGTTAGAACTGAATGGTCTTTAAGGTTCATTCCAACCTAAGCCTAGATGCTAGCACTCTACATGTCAGGGTTTGGAGTCTGATATGTCATTAACTCCCACGTGTCCAGCGTTGCACTGCTCTCAGTGCTGGGCTGGTGCCACAGTTTCACAAACTTTAGCTGGCTCTTTCCTATCAGCTGGGAACTGTTCCTCCACAAACCTGCAGCACCTACAAGAAAAGGAAACTGGCAGCAGCTGCTGCACGGCCAGATAAAAGCTCATGCTCCGGTCTATTTTAGCTGTACACAAGAGGCAGTCACTTGTTTAGTGGTGGTAATTTTCTGCCACTTAAGTTCTGCTTAGAAATCATGTCATCAGAGTGGCCAGGAAACTTTTCTTCTGTTCAACTTTTGTTGTTTTTCTCACCAGTGCTACACAGCAAGCAGACTGGAGAAATCCGAGCAGATGTTAAGTGATGTAATGCATATCTGTGAGAGCAGTTAATGTATAACGGCTTCATCTTACGTTTTAGTACTGTTTAAGACAACTGGGACAATGTTAAGAGGCTGAAAGGTTGTCAATTAAAGGAAGGGGCTATATGTGGAAGTAGCATACTGCATAGGTACATAGCTGTCCACATATCTGGTGATGTTTGAGTATTGTATTTATGCAGTAAAAGTTTTGAGAATACTTGAAGGCACATTGGAAACATCAGCCAAGAAATCTGGGGTTATATTTGCTCTACATTCAGTGCAGTATTTGATTATTTAGCATCTAATGCGTAGATGCTAGTGCAACTTGAGAAGTACTATACTTTATTTCACTTGATCACATGTAATGCTTTGTTCTTTAAAAAAAAAAAAAAAAAAAAAGGAAGCATTGTTTCTCATTTCTGATCCCACACTTCTTAGAATCTTTCTCTTACAGTTATTGGACATTGTGCTTTTCAGTGCTGTTAATTTGCCATTGCACATCCATAATCTTTTATAAAGCTTGGAAAAACATCTGTGTCTGTGGGTCATGCACATGTTTTATGCTTGTGCTCTCAGGGCAGTTTCCTCAGGAGATGAGGAACACAAGGTTCTTGGAGCCTGGGGATCCCCACTACTCCCAGCCCTCTGTCCCACTCTAAGTCTCTCGCCTGCTTGCTTTTTGACAGCTTTCAGATTTCTGTAGTTTTATTCTAGCAGTCCAAATCTCTTCAATCTTGTCTCAGTGCAGTGATTTTTTTGTTTTCTTTCTTTCCCTCCCCTCTTTTCTATCACACTGTTCAACAAGAATTATATTTGAGCTGTGCCGTTTTCTGTGAGGTGTTGGCAGGGGATGGAGGATTTTGTTTCTGACTATTAATTGATGCATTGTGAGTGTAAACATCATCATCTTTTTTTGTAGCTGCTAAACAAACCAGAAAACTGCTGTGGACTTAAGGAAAGCCAAATACTTTCTCTGCTTAGCGACATTGGTATGTAGTCTACGGACTTCAGTGTCTGTTTGTTTATTTTGTGTATATTTGTATTTATGTGTAATGGCATTTTCCTTTTTCAGCTCACCTGAGAAGGGGACTAACAAAAACTGTGTGCAAAACTAAACTGGACTTCTATTCCAGAGCAAGGATCCTATGTCTCTGGTGATTGCAGAGACGAGAGGCTTACACTAATGACGTGTCCATGGAAAGGGACTGAAGAAGCTATATAGTGGTCAGCTGTGGGTAACAAGCTGTGGGTGACATTAAGGTCAAAAGTTTCCTGTTCTGTTCATGGCTCTGCAGATGCCAAGCTGCATGCCAGTCTGAAGGAGTGTAACTTCTACTGCTTAAAAGCAAGAAGCTGTCCGGGGTGTGTCTGCGTTTCTGTGTGGCTTCACTCTGTAGAATGCGCTTTGTAGCAGAGAAATTCTGTTTGTTCAGGATGAGAGGATGGGACAGCCAATAAAGCAGAGTGGAAAGCAAGATGGATAAGAGCATAGCGGAAAAGGAAGAGAACATAATTCATCTTACACAAGCTAATTGTGCCTTGTATTGTCCAGCAGTCTTCCGGGTAGTAGTTTGCTTTCAACTAAGGATTAATTAGGTGAGGGATCCCAAAATAAGCGCCTCAATGTTGAAAAGCTTGTCGTTTTGAAAGAGCTATTGTATGGTCCTATGTTAGAAATGTGACTAGCACAGTGATGGAGTCTGTTGTCTCCTTTGCTTGCAACCAGGGTGGCTATGTCAAGATGCAGCATCCACATTCAGCCTCAGGTTCCAAGTGGAGGTGGAGATTTTGGTGGCCAAATTCTTGATCACTGAAATGTCTGTAAGAAAAGATAGGAGAGATGCACCTTAAAGCAGCTTCTTGGCTGCTCTGGGAGAGGATAGGTAATCTGTTGGAGAGTTATGTCTGCTGATGGTCTCCCTTGCAAGCTTGCCTTCCAAGAATGCTCCTCAGCAGAGCTTCTCATCTTTTATTTCTCTGATAGTTAACCAGTCTCTCCTAGGAATGGAGCCATCTTGGCATGAAAAAATATCTTGAACACAGTGGTCTGGACTTTTAGGCAGGATTCTCATGTCCTCTTTATGAGTGAGAGGAGAGAGGGTTGGCTTTCCCCTAAAGGTTTATTTTTCTGAAGTGGAAAAAGAACTAGTACCTTTCTTAGTCAAAACGGTGTGATGGTTTTTCCAGGGTCACTCCTGACTGGTGTTAGAGCTCACAAAATGGCAGGGGGACATGAAACTAAAAAGGAAAATGAACTTGGTGTCTGTTCTCCGCAGGGCTAAGTAATGCAAAAGTCAGCCATCTGAATAGAGTTTACCAATCCTTAGGAATGTATGCAGAGACAAGTATTCTGCATCAGTTTAATGGAGAGGTACTCACATTACTGGGGTGGCCAGCCAGTACAGTCTTCACCTTGTTACCAGTGACACCCTGCTGGTGGAGTGTCTGCCCTGGGATCACACCCAGCAGATACCTGTGGTGACCAGCAAGATGTCTGCACAACCCATTAGTACCATATATATATAACAGCAGGAGACAATAAAGAACCACATATCAGAATAAGCAAGGTCACTCAGAGAAAGGAAGGAGACTGAGTTACAGCTACAGGGCAGTTTCTCACAAAACAAGTTTCTTCCAGCTACATGCACAAGCTAGAGGCAGTTTACTTGTGTTCCCAAGCTAACATGAGCCCTTTCTCATGGGCTGATTGCCTGTTCAGGCCATGATCTGTGTTCTTCCATGCAGGCTGTTTGCCAGCCTTGTGTCTGACAGCTTCACCTAAAGTCAGAAGCATTTTACTGTATAAAACATTCATATGTTGCTGGTAATGCATTCTCTCTCTATCATGTCTTTGGGGAAGATTTGGAAGTGCCATGAAGAAGTGCAAGTAGGAAACTGTTAAGTGTGTAAATGAGTGATAGGCCAGTGATGGTTGCAGGTTTGGCTCCAGTGAGAGATATTGTGTCTTGAAGGTTAAAAAAAAATCTCACACTT